GTAAAGGTATTCCCCGTTGACAAGATTGTCAAGTCGTGTCCGACCGCAGGGGGTGGTACTCATCTCCGTTACTAAGCCAAAGAGCCAGCGTTGTCAGATACTACTCTGTGATCATATGGCCAGCATGATTGCACAGAACATTGTTTACCTTCTCACTGAGGAGTGGTACCTATTTATCTACTTGTGTTTGCATGCTTTCGAACTGCTAGGTTGGCAAAAGCTGGGAATAGCGATGGGAGCTCACCACATCACGCGGCACCTGGGCCTCGAACTACCAACCTGCTAATCTTGCAATCAACAAAATCAGTGTCTTAACCACTTGAGACTCTGTGTCCCTATAAAGCTTCATTTTAGGGTTGCCATAAGTCAAAACTTGGAGGCCAACAACAGCAACAGCAACAACAACATGGAGATATTGGATTGCAGCCTGTGTGTGAGACATTGCATACATAGCACCAAATTTCATATTTGGAATGCAGTTTATTACCATGATACACCTTTCCTGCCCTGTGTACCATGGCATCATACATTGGGAAGAATTATTCCATGATCAGCCATTCCCCCATGTATTTTGTTTGTGAATGGGCTATATATATATATATATGCGCTGGAATCCTGTTGGCATCTCACATGTATATAAATTCTCCTACAAAAGCAGTTGTGAAACATCTTTATTCAGTCCAAGTTTGCAGAAGCAGAATTACACATGTGGTGCCATTTCACACATGCATTGCACACACAGGGGCAGATGGCACATTGCCAGTGCAGATGTCCATGTGTATTTGGTTGCACACTGTTGCAATTCACAGATGAGGTGCTGCTGCCCAATTGCTTCAGAATGCTGGGAGTGAAAAGGGATGCTCCATCTCCTTGATATAAGATCTTGGCTGCTGGGTAACTAATGGGTTAAAGTAAGCAAAACCCAGGCATGCTTACTCAAATTAATGGAAAGTGCCTGGCCTTGGTTTGTGCAATCAAAAAAGAGAAAGATTCTTGTAACAACACTTAAGACTTTCTAGATAGCTGCTCCCAGGTTGTGGAATTCCCTTCCAAGGGAGGGCAAACTCTCCCTCTCCCTGTTGCTTTTTCACTGGCAGCCTCTTTTGATTCAAGAAGAATTTCATTCTAGAAGATTGGCTGCTAAGGAACAGGCTTTTAATGAGGGCTGCTGTACTCTTTTCTCCAATTCCTCAAGCATTTCAAAATATTTTATTGCCCCAATATGATAATTTATTTAATTGCACTTTAATATTGTAACTTAACGGTAGACATTCTGTTAGGGAATATGCAGGTATTAAGTGGTGCTACAGGTACAGAGTGGATTTTGTGGGCAAATCACAGTGGTTTTCAAATCACAGACCAGCACCATTTCATGGACCACCAGTGGCATCATTAAGGGGGTGTGAGGGGTTCAGACTACACTGGGTGACAGCTGTGAGGAGAGGTGACACCAGTTGGGCCCTCCTCCCATCCCTCCTCCCTTCTCCAGTGCCATGGCTCTCTTGGATGAAGGTGGGACAGTACATGCCCCTTCTGTCCCCTCCTGCTACCTTACTTGCCCACCTGCCCAGCTCCTGACAGCTGTGGGTGGGCATCTGAGGCAGGGGGCAGATGAATGAGACAAGGGGAGGGCAGGGCAGTCTCCTGACAATCCCCTTCCAGGCACATGCACTGGGTGACACCAATGTTAGTAATGCCGCTGCAGGCCAGCACTTAGAGTAGGACTGATCTTTCAGAGCTGCTGCTTTGGAAAGAGTAAGGGCATACCATACTGCTGGTTTTCTTAAGGTCTATTTCCATCTCATTGTATTTGGAAATACTGATTTTGGGTTTCTTACAGTCCAGATACTTTGAGATGAATGCTGGTGTTTATACCTGATGTTGTACTTTGTTTTGCTAGAAGAAGCAGTTTGCTGTAGGACAGTGGTTCTAAAACGTTGGTGCTCCAGTGATTTTGGACTTGAACTCCCAAAAGCCCCAGGCAGCTTGTCAGTGTTAGGGATTCTGGGAGCTGAAGTCTGAAATACCTAGAGGAGCACAGTTTGAGAACTCCTGTTGTAGGAGGGTGAAGAAATGCTTTAATTGAGCAAACTTTCCTGGAATCTTGTAACTCCTACCAAACATGCTATTGTATACAAACTGTTCAATATTTGCAGTTTTATCGTATCTACTGTTTCTACAATTATGGGGTTATCTATTACAGATTTATATTTAAGGTTTCTCACCCTCCCGGTACATGATTAAAAGGAGGGACCAGTCATGGTGTTGACCCCAAATCTGGAGTCAGACAAAAGTGAACTGGCTAACATAGCACATGCTGAAGTACTGGACTGGCTTCCATAGAGAGCTTGGAAAAGTTACTTTTTTGACTACCACTCACAGAATATCCCCCAGCCAGTGGCACTGAACCTGAGTTGAGGGGTCAGGAGATTGCACAATCTGGACCAGGAAGATTGTTGTTGAGTGCCTTCAAGTCATTTCTGACTTATGGTGACCCTAAGGTGAACGTATAATGGGGTTTTCTTGGCAAGATTTGTTCATAGTGGGCTGTCCTTTGTCTCTGATGCTGAGAGAGTGTGTCTTGCCAGAGGTAATCCAGTGGGTTTCCATAGCTTTGCAGGGATTTGAACCCTGGTCTCTAGAGTCATAGTCTAACACTCAAACACTGTACCACACTGGATCTCCTGCTAGGAGGATGCCTACCTCAAAACCAATTCACCTGAAGAGTAAAGGATCTGCTTTTCCACCCAGATGCTCAGGGAAGATGCCAGTCTGGTGGTCACAGTAAGGAGAAGCATTGAAGGCCAGGGCTGGTGGTGGTGGTAGTAGCTTACCTTTCAAGGAGTGAAATTCTTCAGGCAAGAGAGGGGAAGCTTAGAGGGCAGCACACTGGATATGTGGACTCCTATGCTCCTTCCAGGCTTTCTCAGAGGAAATATTCCCATGCCTTCCATGTTCAGGGCAGATCCTGCCATTAGGAAGAGTTGAGGCTGTTGCTTCAGGCAGACAGAGAACATGGGGTATCATGAAAGACTCTTGAATGCTATTTACTTTATATTTGTGTATTTATTTATTTTGCAACCAGGGATCGGGAGAAGTACTTGTGAGATCTTTTTCAACATTGGATTGTGAGAGAAGGGGGATTTGCAGTCTTGTTTCAGGCAACAAAATACCTTCCCATGGTACTGCTTTTTCTTGTAGGTCAGGGGTGTGAGTTGGGTGACCCTCCAGATGTTGTTGGTCTGCAGCTCCCAGTACTCTTCATCATTGGCTAGTCCAGCTAGGGCTGTTGGGAGTCAAACAAAATCTAGGACTCATTTAAGCTATACAGTTTTACAGTGTTATGATTCCAATTTCATTGCCAAGGCAATGCACCATAGAATCCTGGGATTGGCCGTTAAGGAAGGGTATTTAGAATTCTCTGCCATAGAATCTGAATGTAACATTAAATTACAAAACCCAGGATTCCACAGGATGTTGCCATGGCAGCTGAAGTGGAATATAGCACAATTTGTACAGTGCAAATGCACCAGAAGGCTACATGATTTCCATTCCTTGTTGTCACTCTACCTGTTGTGGATGTCATAAAGCAGAAACTACAAGCACAGCCATCAGACAGCAAGAGTGGAACACATGCTGTATCCTCAGAGCTTTGAGCCAGCATGTTATAATGGTTTGAAGATTGGACTAAGACACTGGGAGATGAGGGTTTGAATCCTAGCTCAACCATGTAAACCTATTAGGTGACTTTGGGCAAGCCACACTCTCTCAGCCCTCGAGGAAGGCAATGGCAAACCCATTTGAAGATGTGTGCTAAGAAACCCCCATGAGCTTTAGGGTTGCAATAAGTCAGAAATGGCTTGAAGGCACATAGCAGCAGCAGCAGCAACAACAACAATGCTTAAGAAAAGCAACCATGCTGGCTTGGGATTGCTGGGAGCTATAGCCCAAAAAGATAACTTCTCCAAGATCTTGCTCCCTCTCTAAAACTTTCTGCTCAGGCTCATTCACTCATCCCATACATTAGTTTCTACTTCTGTTGCTTGTATTTCAATATGCCGTCTTACTTTCCCTCAGCTTAATAGAACCTGGGGCTGATGTGCTGAGCCATAGTCAGAACAAGAGAGCTGAATCATGCCATAATCCCTTCTGCATTCAGACCTTCTCACAGTATGTCAGGCCTCTATTACATTTCTTCTTGGGCTTTTGGAATGACACCTTCATGACTGTACAGCCCTAGTCTCCATCCAATGCTATCCCTCTAAGAAACAGACAGCTGGCAAAGCTGCCTTAGTCACTTCTGGGGTGGGAGGGACACATCTGCTGATGACGAAAAAAGGTGCTTTGTCACAAAGCCTGTACTTTTGTGATACAGCAAATGTACATATAGCTGCCTGTGGATCACTTATTCCTCATCTTTCACTCTTGGGAGTCTTTGTGCATGTGAACATAAAGGTCTGCTGGATGAAAGCAAGATATAGGGTGTGGGTGGGTGGGTGGGGGAGAGAGGTGATGATGGGGAAATGGAGGCTGAGTCAGCTTTTCCCAGGCTCTGGGAGCAAGGCGAGATGGAGAGGGGAGTGATGATGCAGAGTGATGACAAAGCAAGTGAGAGAAGCAAGCATGGGTCTGTGTGGGAAGGCTGTGCGAGCGTGGGTGTGTTAGACCAAGAACTGTCAATCAGATGAGAAAAGAAGAGGGGAGGCAGAAGCCTGGCATGCTCTCCCACCCTGGTTTCTCATTAGAAGTGCTAATTGGAGGTGATTAATGTACAGAGGAAACATTACAGCAGCCAGTGTTGCTGACTCAGGGTTTGAAAGCTCCTTGGAACGACTCATGCTCATTGGTCTGAGGTCAAGGATAGGCACTTGGCTGCTGGAAAGCAAAACAGATTTCATGAGAAGTTGGTGCATGGGGCATGTGACAGAATGCATTCAATCGATGCCCATTTGTATGCTGGAATAATGAGAGAGAGTCGTTGTAGTTGGGCCTGAGATGGAGCAGAGTGAGATGGTTGCTTCAGACTTCTGGTGGGGAATTAGCAGTGAAATGTTGGGGGGACAGAGCTGTGTATGCCAGTTGGCCTATCCTGTGCGGTCTTGGGGGTCTTTGTGTGTGGGACAACAAGATCTGCAATTCCCAGTGGCCAGATTCTTGGAGCTGTAATCCAGTACAGGAATCCTGTTGTGCAGTCCACTGATGTTTATACCGATGTAGATGGTGGCAGAAGGAGGAAGAAGTCCATGGACACAGGGGCCATGAGGGAGGTTGCTCAGAGATGGTAGATGTTGTCTTTACTCTTGAACAGGATTCTGGGGCAAAGAAGTCACTTTTCAAAGTGCTGAGAAGCATCCATCAATCACAGTCTATCCTCCAACTATCCCAAAGAGAGACCCAATTCATTCTGTAGTCTCACTTTTTCAGCTGCTTTTAAAATGTCCCAGTTTCTCTTCCCTCCTCCCACTTTCCTCAGTTAATTCAGTTAAGCAGGAAGGAGAGGAGAGGAGGGAGTATGGAATCTTGCTCTTCCCAGTAGTCTCAGGCAAAAGCAAACTGCTGTAGCCTATCTGAATTTGTCTGTTCTTCTGCATTAATAACATCTGTTGTCGTGATCAATGGGAACTCAACTTGTGAAGATTAGATGCCTCTCTCAGTTGCAGTACATATATAATTTCCATTGTATCCCGCTACGAACTTTGCACTTTCATAAATTTGTTTTCTGGAAAACGGATCTTGCATGTACCTTCTTATTCTGGATGGACAGTGATATTCTCAGAAATGCTTGTAATATCTTCATCCTTCATATATGCCAGGCTATTTGATGCCAACTGCTTTCTCTCCCCTTGGCAAATGGGGATACTTGGAGGCTTAGTAAAATCTCTATTTGCAGGTGCAACTCTTGCCTGGCTTAGAAATGAATAGGACAGAAAGTGATATCTACAGCCCATAAAGGCATAGTGACCCTGAGACGAAAGACAGTATGGTACACAGCAGAGATGGGGACAATTTGGCTCCCTAGATATTGTTGAACTGCAACTCTTATCATGTCTTACAATTTGTTATACAGGCTAGGGATCATGGGAGCTGAAGTCCAACAACATTTGGAGAACCACACCTTCACTGCTATGGGTATATAGAGTAACACATGGACCAGTGTGTGAACAACAGGTTTGTGGGTTCATCCCTGTTAATCCTCATTGATTAGGAATTTGGCCTGAGAATCCAGAAGCCTGTCTCATCACAGGCATGTATGTACTTCTGGTTTGAAAATTTTGCAGCCTTGCAGATGTTTCTGGACTACAACTCCAAAATGTTATTAATGAGGAAGAATGGAGAAGCTAGGAGAGAGGCTACAGTAGTTTGCTTTTACCTGAGCTTCCACTGGGATAACTGAGTGCAAACTATTTTGCACTATGAACTTTGCAGCAATTGAAGTAAGTTGAAGATAAATGGAGAAGGGTAGGAGACTGAAATTAGAATATTTTAAAGGCAGCTGAAAAAGTAGGATGATAGAGGATTTATCAAGACTGTCCTTGCCAAGTTGGGGCAGTTGGAGGATATGCTGACATCTGATGCTGCTGATGATGCTGCCGATGATGATGATGATGATGATGATGATGATGATGATGTATATCCCACTTTCTCCCCAAGATTGGGACTCAAGGTGGCTTATGAAGTAGAATGATTAAAGCATGCAAAAAGTCAATATTAAAAGAAAATTAAACAATTAACAATATTGAAACCATTGGAAACATACACTGAAAAGTATACAAAGTCAAAGAAAAGTATTATTGAAAGGAATACAGCACCCTTTATAAAGCCCTTTTCTTAAAAACCTTCAGTTCTAAAGGCCTGCTGGAATACAAAAAGTTGTCCCCAGCTGACAGAAGGACAGCAAGGAGGGGGCCATTCCAGCTTCCCTAGGACAGGAGATCCAGAGCCCAGGGGTAGCCACAGAGAATGCTCTGTCTCATGTCCCCATTGACTATACTGGTGATGGTGGTGGGGCTGAAAGAAATTGGGTTGACTAGGGTGGTTGCATTGCTCTTCCTAATAAGAGGGCTAGCCCTAACCCTCTCCTTTTTCTTCCACCTGTGATACCAGAGGAAGTATTGGAGGACCATACACAACCATACCCTCCAATGGTCCCAGATGCTCTTAAAATGCCCCAATTTCTCTCTCCATCTCTTGTTTCCCCCTTTTGTCCTCAGCTTACTTCAGTTGCTGAAAACTAAGTTCAAAGAGCAAAAGTAGCTTGTATTCAATTAACTCAGTAGGGAAGAGAAGAGGGTTTGGAGTCCTTGGTTTCCCAGTAGGCTCGGGCAACAGCAAACTGCTGCTGCCTCTCCTAGCTTGTCTCTTCTTCCTCATGAATAACTTTGCCATCTTGACAGCATTTGGCATGCATGTCCTGGTCTTCATCAGCGAGATGTTGGAAGGTAGGTACTGCTCATGCTGCAAAACCTTGGGATCTGCGAAGAACTGCCTTGTGTGATGAGTCATAGAACTGCAGAGAGAATTTAAATACTTTTAACTTTGTTCCATTCCTGCTCACCCAAGCTGGACGTACCATTGGAGCTTCCAGGGATCAGGAGAACTATCAAGACATTTCTTTTGAGACCGGACTTGCTTTAAGAAACAAGTCCTTCTGGAGTTCTGTTGTATTTCTTTTTCACCTTC